GGAGCTAGCTAGCAGAGAGAGGGATCAGGAGAGTAATGGCCTCGTGGCCATGGAAGCATGATTAGAAAACAGCCAAGAAAATGCTAAATAAACAAGAGACTCCAGTTTTGTAGCATGGAACTGAGAGCTCTCTAAAGATGACAAGATGCCTGTGTTTGGTCTTTATCGCCATTGGGTTGCTAGGAGTTTCCAAGTCCATGCTTCCCCACTCAGGCCGAACCTCAGGGCTGTCGTGGGTTGAGGCTGTGACGGGCCGGGCCGCAACAAACAAAGTTAAGTGCTCTAGTCTGATCACTATTTGATATACTTGTGCTAAAATACTGTATTGTATTATGTCCTACTGAAGGGACCAGCTCCCCACGTCGGCAGCCATAACAGCTGAACACGTATTTGTCTGACCTTGTCTTAGTCACTAAGGTCATATGCCTGCCCCTTTTGGCAGCCATGACAGTAACACGTGCTTTTCTGACAGTGCCTTGGTCACTACAGGTTAGGTGCCTGCCTCGTGGCAAGGAATCAATCAGAAGTTAGCTGTTGGTGGTATGCTTTACAGGTCTGTGTGTGCTTTATGGACAAGTGCACAGCAATGACGCGCAGAGCATAGCAACGCCCCTGGGAGGGCCTATGGGCCATAACAACCAGTTGGCCAATCAACACAGGGCAAGTCCTCCAAGCCTGGAGGCACACCAATCCTGAGCCTGTGCGTACCCCTAGACACTCCCCTTATGCTGCCCTGCAAGATCTCTATGCAGCCCTTTCGAGCTGTCTTTGCTAGCCACCTGCCATGGCGGGTGGGTGGAAGACCCAAGCTAACATGGGGTTAGCTTGTTAAACAATAAAACCTCATGCAGTTTGCAGAAAGCATTCGAATCTGCCTAGTGATTGGGGTGACTGCAGTCCTGGGCTGAGACCCCGGAGGCCTGAGTTTTCTGGGGGTCTAACACTACTACTAAGAACAAATCTTCTAAATCAATGAAAAACTTTAGGAAGTACTTATGTGGGTACAGAGAGGGCCCAGGGGCTCTGTATGCAGACCAGTGTGAAGACCTCAGACCTCAAGGGCTGTCTGCACATTCCCTGTGGAGTACACAGACTCTGCAACAGCTAAGGCTCTGTGAGTTACTATTGAGGCCCTCTAGATGAAACAGAGGCATTAGGAGTTGTCACCACCTTCTTCACTAGCCCTGCATCTAAAGGAATGTCATGAGGACTTCAGTGGAGTCTAAGGTACAGGCCCTTTGCTGTCAGCTGAGAATAAAACTTGGACATTTCCAACAGTGAAAGCACATAAACCACAGGACTGGAGAACACTGCAATCAACAGAGGCCCAAGGAATGTCCTGGGAACAACGCCAGGAAACTCATGGTGGTCATACTACAAGAAGAAGGAAGGGGTGGTCAGCACAGAGGCTGGGCAAGTAAGGCAAGCTCTCAGCCCCCAAGCAACAGCCTCACCTTGTCTATATCCAGCTGGTGGTACAGCAGGTCATGCGTAGCCTGTAGGTTGAAGCTCTCCTCTACCTTGGTATAGGGACAGGCAATAAGGTGGATGGCAGCTACTGTGACCAACAGCCCCAGGAACAGCAGTGGCTGCCTGCCTGATGATTTCTTTTTTTTCTTTTTCTTTTGGTTTTTCAAGACAGGGTTTCTCTGTGTAGCCTTGGCTGTCTTGGAACTCGCTCTGGAGACCAGGTTGCCCTCAAACTCACAGAGATCCCCCTGTCTCTGCCTCCCAAGTGCTGGGATCAAAGGTGTACGCCAAAATCCGCCTGACTTGCCTGGTGATTTCTTGCCAGCCATGTGGTACTTTAAACTTCATGTACCTTCACAGGAACAAAGACAAGAAGTACCCAACATTAACACTGTTGCCCTGTATATTCAGAGAAAACAGAAACACGGCTCCTAAATGTCAGAACCCTGCTTAAGGTCACACTGGTAAGATGTGTGTGGGGGGGGGGGATGGCCATTCTTTGTCAGCTTGACTATATCTGGAATTAACTAAAGCCCAAGCAGCTGGGTACTTCTGTGAGGGATTTTTGAGTAAGCCTTTTGATTGAGGAAGCCCCACCTTTAATCTGGGCCACACCTGCTGCCAGCAGCCTACATAAAGAACATGGAAGAAGAAAGTTTGCTCTTTTTGTCTCCTTGCTCTTTCTCACTCTCGATGGCAAGTCCATTCCTTCATTGGCAATAGAGCCTACTTCTTTAGGATTTCAGTGTGTACTGAAGACCATTTGAAACATCCAGCCTCATGGACTGAACAACTACTGGATTCTGGAACTTCCACTGGTAGACAACCATTGTTGGACTAGCTAGACAGCCTGTAAACCATTCTAATATATACATACATATGTACACATATACATATATTTCATTCTATCAATCCTGTTCATCTAGAGAACCCTGGCCAAAACCTTTTAAATTTTTTGAAAATTATTTTTTATGAGTATAGGTGTTTTGCCTACATGTATGTCTGGGCATCTGATCCCCTGGAATTGGAGTTACAGACAGTTGTGAGGTGCTATGTGGGTGCCAGGAATTGAATCTCGTCCTCTGAAAGAACAGGCAGCACTCCTAACCACAGAGTCATCTCTCCAGCCTCAACCCTTTGACATATAATTCTCATAATTCCTATTGTCTTAGTTGGGTTTATATTGACGTGATAAAACACCATGACCAAGTGCAGCCAGGGAAGAAAAGGGTTTATTTCATCTTACAGCTTACAGTCCATCAAGGCAAGGAACCTGGAGGCAAGGAACTGATGAAGAGGTCAAGGAGTGCTGCTTACTGGCTTGCTCCTCATGGCTTGCTTGGCCTGTGTTTCTTATAGCACCCAGGACCACCACCATGGCACAGCCCACAATGAGCTGTGCCCTTCCACATCATCAACCAAAGGTATTCATTGACTCTGCATGAAGGCATATCATGAGGACTTTAGTGGAGTGTAAATAAGGCCCAGCTTGCATTTGCTTGTCGCAAGTTTGGCTGCAAGGCCACAGGAGTCTGGCCAACACCCCACCCCACCTGACTATGGCCACCTGTGTTAGACACAATAAAATGTACTAGATTGGAAAAGTGTGATTGTTGACTAAAAGAAAAATGTCAGGCTACAGAACAATGTGCGCATTATGTCCTCAACCTAGCACAAAAAACAGACAGGGACTTGGTGATGCACACCTATAAACCCCAGACAAGAGGAACAGAGTTCAAAGCCAACCTGGGCAACTTGGTAAACGCACAAAATCCTGGTTCAGTCCCCCAAACCACATAAAACCCAGACGTGTTGTTAGATGTGTGTATCCCCAGCACCTAGGAGTTAGAGGCAAGGGGATGAGAAGTTCTAGGTTGTCCTTGGTTATACAGAGTCCCAGGTCAGCCGTTAACTCTGTGAGACCCTATCTCAAAAAAGAGGGAGGGACCCACACCACTGAGGCAGCAGCAGTGTGGTATGTGCTGCCTGAGGGAGTCTGTCTTACCTGTCCCAACCTTCTGTTCCTCATACCTTTGAAGGAAATCCAAGCTTTAGGATGAGATTATCCTTACCTGAATCCTCCTCCCTCCCAGTCAGGCACTTCCTCACAGCCAGAAAGGGATGTTTTCTGTGACGACCAACAGCAGCTATTTTCAAAGACAACAGAAGACCAGGGTGAGTCCGAATGCTCCACTAGGAGCAAAAAACAAGGTAAGATATTCACCAGTACAAAAAAAACCACCTACCACGGGAATGGGGGGAGCTGCTGGGCAGACAGACGGCTAATCGCCTTCCAGCAGCCAAGTTCAAAAAGGCCATATTGTTAGCAAATGTGACTTGGAGAAGGAGGGCACCTCAGATTAGGTAGTACCCTTCAAAGATCCTGTTGTCCCTGTCAATTGGGATTCCAAGGCTTCCACGGAAATTGTCCGAATCATTCGTTCAAATTGTGGCTTTAAGCTGGAAACATAAATGATCTGGTGCAAATGAGGCCTACTTCTCAACCAAAGACCAGATGAAACTGTATCATTTGTACAAACAGGTGTTCTCTAAAATCCAGATAATGCATATTTATTACTTCTCACTCAAGCCATTTAAAATTCGTTTGGTCACTCTGTGCCCACTGCCTGAGGTCCCCTGCGGAAATGTCCACTACTGGCCCCCCCAAACACATGGAGCCGGTCCCCTAGAACAGAGATCAGTTACAGGTGACAGGTCGGCCGCCTGGTGAGGAGGGTGAGGGTCGGATGAAAGGTCCAGGCCTCAGGTGAGATATCCAGCCCCCAGGGATATGCTCAGCCCCTAAGTGAGAGGTACGATCCCCAGGTGAATTGTTCAGCCCTCAGGTGAGGAACTCAAAGGCCGTCGCGCGCGCTCAGGCAGCTCGGAAGAGCCCCAGCCTCGCCACCTCCCGAGTACCTCAATCCCCACGGCGAGCGCTGAACTCCAGCCCTTTCTCTCTCGTCCTGACCCCTCGGAGCTCAGCAACTGCCCTCAGCAGGAAGCGGGCGGCGGAAACGCAGCCCAGAAGCGAAGTCTTTGCCCGAACTTAACATGGCCACCGTA